CCTTATCCTTGCCAGCACTTATTTTCCATTTTAAAAAATAGTCAATCTTTTAATAAATTGAACTCAATTATATGCATTTCCTTATGCCATTAAAGTTATTTTGAAATCACTGTTTGAATATAGTAATTATCATCTTTTGATTTCACCAAAATTTATTGAACTATTCATCTTTTTGTTGGCACTTTTACTTTATATCCAAATTTTCAGTATAAATTCCGCTGCAATGAGTGTTCGTGAATCTTTGCCTCTATTTCTGTTTTCTCCCCTAGAATATTTTTAGGAGCAGAATTGCCTGATCACTTCCCAGAAACATACCAAATTCTATCATAGTATCCAATGAGTATATTTTTACCTAAAAAAAACCATTAATGATGGGCAAATGTGAGTGGCATTTATTTTACGTTTGCACTTTCTGTACCAATGATGTGAATCTTTTTTTCAAGACTATTGTTCCTTTGTATTGCTTATGAATTATATATTTTGCCTATGCTTAATGCCTTTCTTATTGAAAAACAAGTTTTTTAACAGCAAGGATGTATTTCTTATTCGCTGCAAATGTTTTTTGGATAGTTTGTTGTTTTAAAATGCACACTTAAAATTTTTATGCACAGACATCATTCCCTTTAAGAGCTTTCCTCATTGCTTTCAAATTTAGAAAATTCTTCCCGAAGTGAAGACTGAATGCTCTTTTTAAATTTTTTCCTATTTAACTTTCATCTATTTGAAATTTTTTAGGTATATGGTGTGAATTAAAAAAAAAAAAAATCCCTGAATCAGGGGATGTGGTTCAAGTGGTAGAGACCTGCCTAGCAAGTTCAAGGCCCTGAGTCCAATCCCCAGTACTGCTCCCCCTTCCCCCCCAAAAAGTATCACTTATGTCCAACCTTGGCTGTACATCACTTGGAGACTTTTAAGGAATGCTGATGTCTGGGTCCTACACCCAGATAATCTGATTTAATGTTTGGAAATCCAGGAACATGGTGTTGCCCTCCAGTTATTTTAAAATGTCTAAACTTAGTAATTCTTAGGATTTTAATTTTTGTTGATCATATATACTTTTTAAGATCATTTAAGGTTTTTTTTGTATCTTTTCTTGCTTTTGTGAATGAATCTTTATACCTGATTTTATTCTCTAACTAGTTATCATTGGAATATGGGGAACTTTTTATTTTCATTTTCTTTCTTTTTCCTTTTTCTTTAGGATATGGTCTCACTATGTAGCTCAGGCCAGCCTTGAACTCACAATTCTCCTGTCTCACTCTCCGAGTGCTGTGATTTACAGGAGTGCACCACCACTTCTGGGCTTTATTTTTATATTTCATGTCCAACTAATTGACCACCCTCTAATTCCAAAAGTTTTTAAAAAGAGTAACTGGGAATAAAATACTTTTTCTTAGTTGATTTTGGTGCTGAGTGTCTGTGTGTGCACGGTGCTGGGGTTCAAACACAGGGGTTCACTTCTTGCTCTACCAGAAAGCTCTGCCCATGTTACTTATTTTCCTGCCTTATTGTTTTTGCTACCCAACAATTCTCAGGATCCATTTATGCTCTTAAAAAAAGGCTTTGGCTTATATGGACTGTATCTGTATTTATCATATTAGAAATTAAAAGTGAGAAATATTTAAATATTGTTTACTCAATTATAACATTTTAATGAACAATTCGTACATTAAAAAACAGTAATAATGAGAGTGGCATTTTACATTTTTGAAACTCTGAACTGTGTGGCTTATTAAAAATACTTATGTATTTTTATTAAATCTATTGCTGTTTGTTGCATTGGTTGAGGATACCTGGTTTAACACAGGTATGTAGGTGGAAAGTGAAAGTATTTTGATAACCTTTTCAGATAATTCTGGACACTCCCCCTTGTTTCCACATCAGATTTTTATCTTTCAACATCTTTTACATCAAAACTCATGGGTCCGTCCTGTACCTTCAATAGGTCTTTGGTCAGAGTGCAAGACCAATTACACCCTGTCATTACACATAGCTGTGTTACCATATACTAGCCAGGAACACTAAGTGGAAACCATCTAAGAGGGAACAACCTGAAAGAAAACTAAGAAAATGATGCAAATTATTTACAATAGCATCCAAAATGATGAAAATGCCTTGGAATAAATATAACCATGGAGGTGAAAGAGTTCTGAACACTGAAAGCTACAAAACGTAGACAAAAATGGTAAAGATCAAAATAAACAGAATCACATCTGTGTTTCTGATTGGAAGGTTTAATATTATTAAAATGGCAATACCACCCAAATCAATCTATAACTTGAATGCAATTCCTATCAAAATCCCAGTGACTTTTTTTGCATAAATGTAAACTACAATTTGAATCCTAAAATTTGTATGGCACCTGCAGTGGCCCCAAATAGCCAAAATACTTCCTGATATCAAAACTTACAAATTTATTTTGCTGCTTTGTCAAAGGCTTTTTTTTTTTTTTTGGTACTGGGGTTTAAACTCAGGACCTACACTTAAGCCACTCCACTAGGCCTTTTTTGAGATGGGTTTTTTCAAGATAGGGTCTCAAGAACTATTTGCCCGGGCTGGCTTTGAACTGTGAGGATTACAGGCATGAGTCACCAACTCCCAGCTTGTCAAGGAATTATTACATGAAATTGACTTTTTAAAAAAGGCGAATGCAGGGTGTGGGGTATACTTTGGTGCCACTGCCTTGAGCATGCAATGTATTAGCAGTTGGATTTGCTTTTACACCTAGCAGTGCATACATAAACCTAGTCCTAGTAGCTTCACAACCCATCTGCTACTGGGACAATTTCTGTACCCCTGAAGGCCCTGATTTGGTGTCTAGGGGGCCTCACTTAAATAAAGGGCCTTATATTACTCAGATACCCAGAAAACTAGGAGAGAAATTTCAAACTACCTCCTGCTGACTTCAGGGAATCCCACCATCATCACACTAGGATCTTATTAGCCCTGTCCTTTTCCCCACCCTAGCTGTGTGAACAATTTTCTTTCATTGATCTAGACAGCGATATTCTGAAGAGCCATCTGACTAAATGTGAATAAACACTTTTCTCCATAGCTTTAATCCTGATACACCCACACCCAAGGGTAGACAATATTGCTTTCCCTCTAATGTGACATTTCTAGGTCACTTTCAAACCTGCTCTTACCGTGAAGTCTTCCATGGCAGCGTTCTGTCCCTGGATCCCTCAGCAGTGTGCAGAGAAAGAGCCAAGCCACCAAGGGGAAAAGTGGCTGTGGCTTGGAATTCTGAATATGTGGTCTAATAGTAAGATGGAAAATGCCCTAAAAAAGTCTGATTTAAGTAAAGAAACTTAGTTTTCCTTTCCCAGAATGGTTTCCTGGCCATTAGGTCTTCGTGGCTACTGCTATCAAAAGGCAAGTTAGGGAGATTCCACTTCATCTCAATCTCCCTTAGCTCTCAAGTTCCGAACTTGGATCCTAAGTCTTTTCTCTGTGGTGGGAGAGATTGGAACTTAAAATAAATGCAATAACCAGTGGCATGGCATTGTGGAAAAGTCAAAACTGGAAACAGTGAAAGACAAGTGGTTGCCCATGGCTCTGGAAGAGGAACAGGTGGAATGAAGGGATTTCTAGGACAGTGAAAGCAGTCTGTTGAGTGGTGGATTCAGGTCATTAGGCATTTCTCATAACCAGTCGAAGGTGTAACAAATAACGAGCCCTGGTGTAGACTATGGGCTCTGGGTTACAACCATGAGTCAGTGCACATTCCACACTGTATAGGATGATGGAGAGGTTTTTTGTGTGTGTATGTGTGAAGCCTCCATTTTGCTCATTTTATCTTAAACCTGAAACTGCTCTAAATACATAGTCTATTAAAAAAATAATTGGTGTGCTAACATAGTTTTTTAAATGCTTTTTACTTAGGCAGGATATTCAATAAATATTCACTCATACCCTGCATGGTGGAAGCTCCCTCCAGATCCCTTCTTATACTTCAAATATAGGGTGATGAAAATGCCTAGTATAAATGGAATACCATATAGGGAAAAGTGAAGTCCTCTGTGTTTTCAGTCCCCTTTGGGAGCAAAACTGCAAAGCTTATAGTAAAAGAATCATTTTAAGTATCCACTCAAATCCCAGCTTAAGAGAGACTAGCATTAAGATGTTCAGAAGTCACTTAACCATATAAATGTCTTGTGTTAACTGATGACAGGAGCGTTCTGGTATAGGGCAGGGTGTACACGCCCATGGTCATGGCAAACAATCCACTCTAGGATGGTGACATTTTGGGAATGGACTGGTAATAAGACCAGCAACACCATCTGTAGTAAGTCATATGGCCATCAGGTTACCCTGCTCTAAAACTGAAGTCAGGGCCATGAAAAACACAAACAATAAATAACCCCCTGAATATGGAAGCTTGCTTTGACACTTAGAAAGTGTCATGTGTATTTTCAGGTCCACACAAGAACTGGTAATAACTAAAGTAAGAGATAACCATATTTGATCTGCCCTTCAGTTTTATGGCATGTTATCTATTGAACTTCAGCTATTTGAGAAGCAGTACAACGTCCAGATGATTCTGGGGTCAGCCTCCTATTCTCCCAGTAGTGCCATCAGTTATAACACTGTGTTTGCTCCACCCACGGGTATCACTGGAATATACTCTGGGGGCTCACAATGGTTTAATTTAATAGCTTGTCTATTGACAGCTCTGCAAAAATGAAATGTCTGGATGTCTGGTTTTGCTCTAGTGGAGAGCAGGTGCAGTGTTGGACACAACTGACAGGGAAAATTCTGGATGATCCCAATATTGGGTCAAAAAAAAACCTACTGAGCTGGGTGTGGTGGCACAGGCCTGTAATTCAGTCTATGGAAAGCAAGACAGGAGAACCGAGAGTTCAAGGACAGCCTGGCCTACAGCACTGTCTCAAAAAAAAAAAAAAAAAAAAAAAAGAAAAAAGCCAATTAATGTTAGGGTTAACATCTCCACCAGAGGCTATGGAGACCCCAATTAACCTAAATTAATAAAGAAAAATGTTGCACCCAAGGATTAATGTCAGAAATCACATGAATCCAATAAGGTAAACTAGTTTACATATTAGAAGCCAGCATATTTATGGCATTCTTAGTTGCTGGATCCGAAGAACTCAACCCAGCAGCCCCAGACTCATCTTGTAACCAATCATCTCATCTTCTGTGACCACCGACCTAGGTTCGCAATAGTTTTCTCTCCAACTTACCTCAAATACAGGCCAGTTCCAAGGATTCACTATGCTTAGGAAGGGCTGAACCCATTTATGCCCAACTGATAGGAAGTGAAGAAATGGAACATGTTTTGGGACCCTTGGATACTCCAGTATAGCAGGCCTGGCCCTTGGCCCTTTGGCAGGCAAAGCTTCTCTTCCCTGGGAAATAGTCATGGTTAACTGGCACTAGATGAGCAAGGGTTTGCCTGAAGTGGGCTGTCTACTTCCCAAGAGGAGAAATAACAAGTGTGGGATTCTGTGTTGTTCATGACCTCACTTTGGGTCAAGATGTTTCTATACTTGCTACTTAATACTGTTGCTGCTGGAAAAGCAAGGGGCATCTCAGAGCACATGTAAGAAGGAACCTGGTAACTGGCCATCATCCCTGCTGATCACTCTGGTGCTTCTGAGTGAAACAGAAGGCAGCCTGTAGAACTGGGGTGGCAGTTCTTACATCTGATATTTGAGGAAAGAAACTTAAGGTGAGAACTGAAATACCAGCACAGTTATTTGTTTCAAACCAAACTCTGGGAATGTGTTTTTGGAGTTTTAAATCTTTCACTCACTGGCTTATAAAACCAACCAATTAGGACAGGGACATGGCTCAAGTGGCAGAGTATCTGCCTAGCAAGCATGAGGCCCTGAGTTCAAACTCTAGTACTGCAAGACAAACAGAAAGACAATGAACCAATTAATAAATTAAAGTGCTGGCAGGAAAAGACTAGGAGGATCCCTCTCCCCCTACTTCTCTAGTCAAGAAACACTTGACCTGTGAAGGCAAATCTTGGATAGGAATTAATGACAAGTAAGGTAAATAAAACTAGGAGAGCAACAGGAGGGATGTCTAGTTTCAGATGATGGATGTGACTTCTCTGCCAGAAGCTCAACTAAGGACAGTGCCACAATACCCAGAGCAGGGGCCCAATATTCTGTTGTTCTGGGCCATAACTATGGGAATTTCTTTGTAGATGCAGACAGGAAAGCTAGAAATCGAATCTGTGTCCTTTATTCCACCTGCTAGGCATACCCAGAAGCCATCCGCTGACTGTCTAAACAGGCTGATGGAGGTTCCGTGGGCCCGAGGCTGTAAGTACCTGGGCTCTGTTCTCCAGGTGGATGGGTGGTTGGGCAGTGGACAGGCACTGAGCTGTGAGGCAGAGTCCCAACACTGAAGGAGAATGAGTTGAGAAAGTGGGACTCTGACGGAGGGGGCAGCGAGGGGCCTCAGAGGGTCTGTTCTGAGTGTGCTGAGGTGACAGGTATACTCCCTTGGCTCCTATGTTCATTGACAGTCACACCCAGGCTGTGGGCAGAGGTGCAGTTGCTGCTGCTATCCATTGTGGCGCTGGACGCTTCTGGAGGTCCTTTCCCTTTTTTGCTGTGGCTAAAGTTGTGACCAAGAATGGGAAGAGGAGGATGCTGAACTCATGGGAAGTCCCATCTTTTTGGAGATGAGCTGTTAGGATTTTAGGAATGAAATGGAGGGAAGTAGAGTAGAGAGGAGGCAAGAGAGCAGTTGAGAGAGGCTACCAGCCCAAAGGAGGCTGGGAACTGTGCAACTGGGCCCAAGGTGTCTAGCAGACCTTTGGGCAGGAGGCCAAAAAACCCCTCACCAAGCCTCCACTGAAGATGGAAGAACTGGAGCAGAGGCAACTAGCCACTTGCCTAGGAGACAGAACTCAGGCACCAATAAAAACAGAGCTGCCACTCTCTGCCCTCTGGCAGTTTCAGATGGCCTGCTCATGACAGAAACCAGTGGCCAGAGAGGCAGGGCCTATTGCTGCGATATTGTGGCGAGTGCCCAGTCCAAGAAAGCTACTGTGATGTCCTGTAGGCAGAGCCAGGTCCGGTGAGCAGCCTCACAGAGCTGTGTCTTCACGCAGTCCCAGGTCACCTCACCTCTGGGAGAAAAGAACATTGTGGAGGTTGGGGCATGCGGGCAGAGCAGCATCAGCTCACGGTCTACAGCTCAGACCTACAACTCTCATGCCAGAGTGGCCAAGGATGAGCAAGGGGCGAGACAGTGTGATAGACTGAAAAGGACAACTTTGTCTTTGGGCATCAGGAGTGGAGCCAATGGGGTGGGGTGGGGCTGCAGAGCCCTGTGACAGTCTCACCTGCAGGCATGATGGCAGCGCTCCTGGGCCTGGGCTAGAGCCGCAAGCAGCAGGTGCCACACTGGCAGCAGAATACTCTGGTGGAAGAACAGGAGTAGCTCTCTCAGATAATGGAGCAGCTGGTGCAGGGCATCAGGGAGCTGGACCTGCAGCTGGACGGTGAGGAATGGCTGGTCAGGGCACCAGGGCAGCACGTCCTGACCCTGAAGATCTTGGGAAAGATCTTGCCTTTCCCAAGAACTCTGCCCTGGGAGGACCAGTCCTCCTCTGACTGTTTCCAGCTTACCCTCTGAGAGAGACCAGTGAAACTGTCACCAAGCCAGGCAAGGTGGGAGGCACAGTGGGCAGAAAGGAAGTTAACTGTGGCATTGGTGTGGGCCCAGGCTACTTGCAAGCCGGGCTCAACTATGGTGAGAAGGTAGGAACCGCAGGCCGGTAGTGTCTCCTCTAGCCAGCTGTGGAAAAGTCAGAGGGTGAGGGGTGGGCTGAGCTTCCTCTGGCCAGCTCAGCTCCCAAAGAATAGCCAGGGAGAGAGAGGCCAAGGGAAAGGAAAACCACAATTACTTCCCACTGTCAATGACCACCACCAGTACCACCCTGAACTCCAAGCCTTCCTTCTGTACCCTGCCTTTGCCCTTCCTGGGAGCATCTTACCTGTAGCCTTGGAGGCTGTAGGAATAGAGTTTGGCACACATTTGTTGGCCAGCAGGCAAGAAACCAGACGATCGCAGTAACCGACCAGCAAGGGTGGCTGAATAAAGGGAGCTTCTGTGAGATGGGAGGCTAGAGGGGCAGGAACTAAGGAGACAAACACTACAGGTCCCTGGGCAGACACAGTGGGGCAGAACTTCTTGTCCTCACAGATTGCAGAGCTAGCTCCAGTATGAATGAAGCAGGCTCAGAGGGCAGTATGTGGACTAAGAGCCTTCTGCTGGGCCAGGTGAGCAGGAGGAACTGGGCACCAGGTAGAAGCCTAGACTTAGGGATCAGAAGTCTTAGGTTTGAGTGTCTGCCCTTCTACTTACTAGCTGTGATCTTAAGATAATTGCTAAATAAATGTTTCTTCTTCAATTTCCTTACGAGTCAAAGGGCGATAACACCTACTTAGATGATGTCATAAATACCATTTCTATACAGCAAAGTACAAGTCCAATCTGATGGTAACACCATTTCTGTAAATGATGGTAATGTTCACATTGAGGGTATGACTGAAGTGGTAGAGTGTCTGACTAGTAAGTGCAAGGCCCTGAGTTTAAACCCCCAGTACTGCCAAAAAAAAAAAAAATTATCCACACGATGGTAATGTGTAATGTCTTGCTGAAAGTGAGAACTCATTAGGACAAAGGTAGTGTTGGGGGTTCTATACCTAGCTCTGTAGCCCACCACTAAGTTTTCTTTCAGTCACTGCTTACCCTGGAAAGAGCTGTTCGACCGGAAGTCATGGCACAGGAAACCTATAGCAAAGACCAGCAGCAACAGGAGTAGTCGGGTCCAGGGTGGCCGAGGGCCCCGTGCCTGCTGCAACAAGCTCTGGCAGGAGAGGGGGAGGAAACAGTGGTCAGAAGGGACAGGGGCTGGTCCTGGCCTCCTAGGGCAGGCCCAGTCAGGCCTTCTAGGAAGAGGGTCAAGTCTGCATTAGCCCCAAGGCAATGAAGGCTCTAGACAAGTGGTGCAGGGATGTGAACCAGGCCCAACAAAGGGTGTGCTGAGACAGATGAAGAACTGTGCATGGGCTGGAGGGGTTGGATGCCACACCTTGCAGGCAGCATCACAAGTGATGACATGCTGATTGCTACTGCTGCCCTTCTTTAGCAGTTCCTGGTTGGTAAGCTTGAAAGACTGAATGGTTTCTTGCAAAGACTTCCGCACCTAGGATACCAAAAGAGGAGTTGAAAGTGAGAGACTCCCAAGCCTCCATTCTGTTTCATGTTCAATGCCAGGTGCACAAATAAGGGAGGACAGTGGCTGAAGGGCATGAACCCAGAACCCAGATGAGAGGGCCATCCTCCTGGCTCCTCACCTTCTTGGGAATCCGCTTCCAGGACCTGAGTAGGTGTTCCAGCAGCAGGCTATGAGGAAGGAAGCACAGCCCATCCAGTCAGGTGGTCCATATACCCCTCTTACCTTCCACCAGACCCTGGGTCTTTCAGGATGAAAGACACCTCCTCCCCCAACCCCTACTGGCAGAGAAGCAGCTCTCCAAGGGTCACCCCAGCAATATTGCCATTTGACTTGAGAGGCATGAGCCCATGGAACAGCGACCAGTGTTTCCCTTCTGCTTCTAGGACAGGGACAGGTCAGTCTCAGGCTGGGAAGCATGAGCTAGGAGGCTTCTCTGTATAGATGAGAGGCAGGTGACCCTGCCCCCACCTGCCTGGACTGTGGCAGGTGTTTTGGGTACAGCTGCTTCCAGATGCTGGTGCTGAGAGGGTCCACAGTCAGGCACTGGGTCAGGCTGCTCAGGAGCTGCACAGGGAATAGAAGGGAAAGAAGAGAGTGCTGTGGCTTAGGTTGGTGAGGGGCCAATGCTCAGATGTGTTACCACTTGGGTAACAAATCTACTCCAAGGATGCAGAAATAGTGTAGAGTGTGGGTTTCAAGGGATTGAAGTTCTGACAGGCCGTCAAGTGGAGGGAGGGAGGCAGGGCTCCTGAGCTAGAACCTGAACTCAAAGATGGCTTGTTCACAATGTTAGTACATCAGAGACCCACCATCTACTGCACTGCCCTTCTAGGCTTAGGGCTGGGAGGGTGGCGTGCCAGTGAGCAGCGAAGACAATCGCAGGAGTGAGCAGTGGGAATAGCTGGAAAATGTCTCTGAGAAGGCAGGACAATGAGTGAAGGGGATGGCAGGGGGAGATGCATCACAGCTGACCCTGAGCAAGGAAAAGCAGATTCCACCAGTTCCTCACCTCTTTCTTCATCCCAGAGGGACAGTTTGGAGTGGCTCTGGACAGGAAGGAAGGGAAGTAGATGTGCAGGGTGGATTCCGGCTTTGCGCCAAATGCCAGCACCTTCAGCCGGGGGTAGAGCTGACACAGCTGCTCCTGTAGGCTGGGGAGGTGGGGAGAAGGGCTAGGTCTGGGCTGTAAATGGAGCTGTGCCATGTGAGCCTTTTGCCTGCCTGGGAGCTCACATCATGAATGAGGGGAGTCACTAAGGGCCTTGAAATGGCTTTGATTATTTTTACTCAGACACTTCCTAGAAAATTTGTGGAAAGCCACAGACTCTCTCCCTAAGAAAAATGCCTATATGCTAATCACTCAAGGACCCATATAGTTTCAGGTGTTCACTAAATCCTTAAAAGTCCACTCTCTTTTTTTTTTTTTTTTTTTTTTTGTGGTACTGGAGCTTGAACTCAGGGCCTTCACCTTGAGCCACTCCACCAGCCCTATTTTTGTGAAGAGTTTTTTGAGATATGGTCTTGCAGAACTATTTGCCTGGGCTGGCTACGAACTGCAGTCCTCCTGATCTCTGCCTACTGAGTAGCTAGGATTACAGGTTTGAGCCAACGGCACCTGGCTGAATCCCAGTCTTGAACTTCCAGATTGAAAACCTCAGATATGGGGTGACTGTGGGAGAAGGGCTAGGATTTAGTGCCTGGGCCTGACCTTGCACTGGGATCCCTCCTTGCGTATGTGCTCTGGGGCAATTGTACCTAGATGTCAAGGAGTTGTTGGGCATATAGGCAAAGTCCAGAAGTGGGAAGAAGTCCTTAGGGCCAATCATGCCAAAGCCTTTGGTGAGGTTAGGATGCATCCTTCGGGGAAGAAAGAAACAGACTTGTTGGAGACAACTACCAGGCCAGCTGTTTTGGCCATGACTAAGCCAAGCCAACACACAGGAAAAACAGTGTAAAAGCTACCCGTTCCCTATTCCTTAATGGCTCCCTCCCTTTCTTTCCTCACCATCACATTTGGAGATGGGAGGAGCTGGTCCCGATTTTCCTCGCAGCCATGGAGGGAGATCAGGATCATGGGATCCCATTTTGCCAAAACAGCCTCTTGTGGACACCCTGGGCATTCCCCTTGCTGTCCCCAATTACTCACAGGAGCAGCCGATCCAGGTATGCAATGGCAAAGGGAGACAGAGACTTTATGCCCAGCACAGGCAGCATGATCCCCAGCCACACTGAGAAGACAAACATCAAGGAGGAAGCTGGGATACTCAAAGAGGAGTGTCCCGGTTCCAGAACCAATCCTTCCTTCCCCACTTCCCTGTTACCTTTCAGTCCGTCGGTGAGGTTGGCAAAACCTGCTTGCCCCAGAGCCCACATGATGGTTAGGCACTTCACTGGTTGGTTCTGGTGGGACCTCAGTAGCTCTAGGAACTGGGGAGACAGGTGGGGAGGGCACGATGGGATAGGGCAGAGCACCAGGAGCATCACAGAGCCCACCCAGTAGAAAGAGAGATATCAACTGGGAGAGGAGGGCTAGCTGAGTGACAGTGGAGCAGTATGGCAGTGTGGTGCAGTAACTCTGCCACATTCTGGTTGACCAGCCCTAGGAAAGCTACTGAATCCCTCTGTGGCCCAATCATCCCATCAATAAAATGGAAATAATGGCAGCACATACCTCATGCACATCCAAAGCAGCCACATGATGCTAACAGTATTGTTCCTTGTGTTACAGGATATTTCACCATCCCAGAACTGAGCCCAACACTTAACTTCTGCCCAGCCTCCCCAGTCTTACCCCATATCTTTGGCACCACCCAGGGCTCACCTTGCCCAGGTTCATGGTGGCAATCTTGGGCTTGTCTTGCAGAATGGCCTGGATACAGATGCGGTATCCATGCAGTGATTCCCCTGGAGAGATTCATGTTCTCAGACCTACCCATACTGCTTGACACCCAAAACCTTTAGTCTCCTTTTCTGGGAGCTGTGAGTCCAGAACTCCAACCCAATAACTGCTAACTTCCTTCTCCCTTTCCAAAGAGAATGTCAAGATTAGCACATTTCTGTGCTGGAAAAAGAACCACTCAGCCCTGCTGGAAGCAGAAGGCTCCCAAGATAGTTATTACCCACAGACCCCTCTCACCTGGAGTTTTATCCAGCTCTTGTAGCATGGTGAACAGACAGTGGTCAAAAAAGAGCTCCAGAGACCCTGCTGCCTTTGCCAGGAGCCCTCGGATGATCCCACGAAGCTCCCGGCTCACCAGGCTGTAGGGATAATCTGGGGCCCATGGGCCTCCACATGAGTGCTAAGACCAGACCTTACTCCTAGCAGCTACAGAGCTGTTGCTCTCCCTGGGGAAGGTGAGTGGAGGCAGAAATCCCCATGTCCGCCCTCTCCCAAGGAGGCCCAGCCACATGTAAATCAGGACAATGGGGGACAATGGGCTGTTAGGAACACACAGCCCTTTCAGAATTTCCTTGACCTCATCTGAGCTAAGACGTTGGGAAACTAACCATGTGTATGTTGGCTTAGAGTGGGCTCGCTGCGTGGAGCCTGGAGCTTGTAGTTGAGATAGCTGGCCAGGTCCTTCAGCCACACAGAGGGGTTCCCAGTGAACACACTCTGGCTTTTGTCCAGTTCCTTCTGCAGAGCTGCCACATCCAACTGCCAAGGACACAAACCTCCACAGTGAGTTGTGAGTGAGGGGGAGGGAAGTGGAGAAGGGGTGGGAAAGTGGCTGAAGGAGGTGGTGGTAGGAAGAACCAAGGGTTTTTGTTTTGGTGGCACTGGGGTTTGATCTCAGGGTCTCGTGGTCTTCTTACTGCTTGAGCCACTCCACTTGCCCTTTTTTTGTGATGGTTTTTTTTTTTGAGATGGGGTCTCAAGAATGATTTGTCCCAGGCTGGCTTTGAGCTGCGATCCTCCTGATCTCTGCCTCCGGCATAGCTAGGATTACAGGCAGGAACCACCAGTGTCTGGCAGGGTTTTTGCTCCTTAAGTGTAAATATGTGGAATACTACAGTTTGGCAGCATCCAGATACTGACAAAGTACGGAACAGGGCAGCTGAGAAAGCTGATCTTAAGATCCTATGCTTGTAGGCCCTTCATATGTTCAAGAGGAAAAACAGAGGGCATGATGGAAAGTAAAAGATCACTGTTGCCATGGAAAAGGGAATCATATCCAGCTTTCCTATCCTCTCCCTGGTGCTCCTGGGTCTTCGGAGCTTTCCTCTCACCTATCTGTGTTTCTGTATAAACTTCCCATTTCCTGTCTATTCTAAGTGCAAACATTCTGCTTCCTTGGGGTTTCCATCTTTTCCTGAACCCCTCTCAGCTGAGTGTCCCATATCCAACAGGTCCCTCAGCTTCCTGTCTCCTCACCCCCATCTTCTCTGCACCTCAAGGCCCAGATCTTTGCATGCCTCAAATCTAGTCACACTTACAGCTTTCAGTGCCTCCTCCAGGCTGCGGAAGGGGCCCTGCTTCTGGTTTTGGTTGGGGAGAGTTGCCACCTTCTTTGGCTGCTTCTTCTTAGCTGGTTTCTTGGGCTCCACAGCAGGGGGTGGAACTTGTTCCTTATTCTGCCTCTTCATGATTTTCTCAAAGCCCCGCTCATAGAGGGTGCTTGTGGTCTGGATTGGAGCTGCAGGTGAAGACAGGCAGAGAAAGGGAGGGGGAACCCTTAAGTTCCCAGGGCCTCACAAGGACAGCAGTCTCTTCCCCTCCACCCAGCACTTAATTCATCTCTCCTTCAGGGAGGAGTCACCTCAAGGCCCTTTCTTGCTTGGGAGCTGCTTAGGGGCGGGGGCAAAGGAACTTCATAGCTGCTTTCAGTCATCACAGGCCAGTCCCAGGCTCTTGCAGAAATCACCATCTCTTTATCAGACAAATCAGAGCATGTGAGAACCAGTAGAGGCCAGGATAAAGAAGACTGGCTTCTTTGGTGCCTGACTGGGAGGGTAAGTTTTTTTCATTTTGGTTCCACCCCAATTTCTCTTGGTTCTGAGGTGACAACTGTATAATCAACAAATGGCAAGCTTTCCACTCCTCGGGAGACTGGGGGAGCAGGTACCCTTGAGAATAAACTCCTGGTAGTGCTGAGTGTGAGATGGCTCACTTCTCCCACTGCTGGGTCTCTGTCCACCCCTCCCCGACATGCTGGCTACTTAACAGGTGGCACCGTGTAGGATCCAGGACGTCTCCGCCCCACGCTCGGACAGACATCTGCCCGAAAGGCCAGCAAGGGCCGGGACAGCTGGGAGGACTATACGACTTGGAGACCCAGTCCCCTCCAACAGGTGATCCTAGTCCAGGGGTCCACTTCGCTGGGACTCAGTTTACCCATCTGTGCAGAGAGGGCGAACTCGCGCTCGGACAGCTCCCAGGGGTTCTGTCGCGCCCCTGCTGGCAGGCCGCGGTGGGCGGCGGCGGGTACTCACGGGTCAGGTCGTATTTCCACACGCCGTTCGCCTCCCCGAGCGCCCGACGGTCTCCGCCGCTGCCTCGACCGCCACTGCTGGCTCCAGGACGCCGACCCTTCTTCACTACCTCCCAGCGCCCGCTACTCGCCGCCCTGGCCGCCATAGCTCCAACCCTTCACCCCGCCACCTCCCGGCTTTCCGGTCGGACGCGCGCGCCGCGCACTGCCACGTCTCCCTGCCGCCGCCGCGGGGCAGCCTGGGATCCGTAGTCTCCGCCCCGCCGCGTGCCACACCCGCCAGACCCCGCCTTCTCATTGAGTGCCTTGGAAAATGGAGCTGTTTCCCTGGTTTTTTTCTTTCCAATGGCGCTAGAAGGATGGAATGGAAATAGTTTTCACCTGGGGAGAGTTGGAAGCTTTACATGCTTATTTCCTTGTAGGAATGTGCTAATATTTTTGTTGCTAATGCTGAAATTTTAGGTTTAGTGGGCAATAAAAATCTATTGCGAAAGAACAAAGAAGAGGATGCTGGGACTTGAGGGTTGGAAGGGACCATGGTTGGACGGGCCCAGAAAACTGTCCCTCTGATGGGACAACTAGCCCGGGTTTCCCCTTCCAGGCTATGGGAAAGAATATGCTCTGGCTCCACCCCGAGTTCCAGATGGGACAGGGAAGTGATGGAGATCCCCAGACCGGTGAAACCACACAGATACCCACTCTTCCTGGAGGATCTGCCACCTGTACCATTAGCAGCATGTGAGTCCGCAGTACCTTAAAACATACCAGTTCCCCAGCGGAAAAGGAGGGAAGGTGAAACTAAAGTGATTTTTCACAACTAAGGAAATGTGCCATTTTGTATACTTGAGGATGGGATTCGTACCTATCATACTGAGGTACTATAGTAAGATCTAGAATAGAGTACAGATTCTTACAGGAGACACATGAGGGACTGATGAAGCCCTTAGGGAGATCAGGGAAGGCTTTCTGAAGGACAGGGCAGTTGTTACGGGTCCTAAGGAATGGGAGAATTTACATTGGTTGGGGATCTGGGTGAATGGAAAGAACACTTTGTGTGGATGTATTAATTTAAGCAAAGGCCTCAACAGGTGGGACACTGGAAGTGAGTGGATCAGTGTGACCAGTTTTTAGTGGGATTTTGGAAGTGATGAGGTAGGAAAGGGATCTAAGCCCATATGTCAAGGGCTTCACCTGCCAAATCTGGACTTTATCTTCCAGGTCCTAGGAAGGCAGTGGGAAGCTAGTGGAAAGATGGCATGATCCACTGTTTTATAAAGGAACAAGGGTTGGGTTGGAAGGATTGGTTGGAGAGGGGGAAAGCAACTGGAAGGTGACCAGCTCTTGTGCCTCCTCCTGCCCATCCTCCATCTGCTTTAGGCCTGATCATGACCGACTTGGCCCCAGGGAGCTCTAAGATGGAATGCTTTTGTCAAGGAACATATTTGAGCTGATCATTAATCAATAAATTTCTCGGATCATTGGTTTAACTCTACTCAAGAGACCAACAACATTACTCTCTCTTTGATCCCTGCTGTCACTTGTTTGGTCACAGAAAAGGCTCTGTTTTGGGAGGAAAAAAAAACACAACTGGCTTTCCATAGAGGCAAAGGAGAGGCTGCTCCCCAAAGGAGACACACAGAAGGGTGAGGGAGGGACTTTCTTTTCTCTCTCTTATTGGAATAATCTGTCAGGTTATCTGTTGTAACTAATCATGTAGGGGATAGAAGTGATTCATTTACTTATTCAGCAACATTTCCTAAGCACCTTCTCTGTGTCAGGTCCTGTGCTAGAAGGAGCTGAGGGATATGCCTCATTGCTTATGAGGAACTTGAAACCTGTATGGGAGACAAATGTATAAACAGGAAATTACATTCACCATCTTAAGTGTTCCAGAGGAAAAACACACTTAATATTGAGATAGGCTAGATTAGGGACATTGAGGCATCTGAATCAAGAGCCAGGAGCTAAGAATAAACACTGTACCCATAGGCAACTTGAAGTTTCTCACTCCCTATTAGGCTATGGTATCTTACTGTGCTAATGCACTAATGATTAGCTCATGGCTCTAGATAAGCACATGCTGAGTAAATATCTCAAGAAAAACATCTGGGGGCTGGGGACTTTGCTCAAGTGGTAAAGCCCCTGCCTAGCAAGTACAAGACCCCGAGTTCAAAGCCTAGTAGTACAGCCAAAAAACAAACAAAAAAATAAGAAAAACATCTGGTAGAACTCCTCCTTGTACTAAAAGGAGACCCCATTAAAGGAAAATAAATACCTCTTAATGATAGTTTTCCCTGCTTTAAATAAACATCTTTTAAAAGAAAGACCCTGGCAGATTCTCAAACATATAATCATGTATGTCAATTAACAATACTTGGTTTCTGGGAATCCTGAACTTCAGTTTTAAAACACAAGATGCAATTAGAGGAGGGTTGTCACAGCAAATGATTAACATTACAGACTATGGAAATGAAAGAGCCGGCACAGAGATAAGGACGTACAGACTCCTAGACTGACTTGAGCCTTATAAATATGCCTTACACAAAGGACTTGGTGCACTTCTCATGTGCCTACACATCCAGCTTATTGGAATATGCTTTGTTTCCCTGATTTTCTGCTTTGCTAAATACAACTTCCATAAACTTCTTACCTAATTAACTTTGTTCTTAAGTTCTTTTCTATGATAATGTCAGAAAGTTGGTCAGCATCAGGGCCACAAACATGACATTCTAGATCACAAGTTTGGCATTCTAGGTTGAAGTCCATGCTCTTTGGGAACCTCCCTGTGTTTGAACCAGTCTTGGTTCCAGTGGTATTTGATAGGTGCTTGTCTGAGATTGCATATCCATGTGTGAAGTTTATTTTCCTTTTACTCTTTGGTCCTTTTGTGTACCGAAATCAGTTCTCCTCAAATCTCACTTTTCACTCTCTCTCTCTGCATTTTCCACTTGTATCCTGAAGCCGTGTGCCTGATTTCCTCAAACCTCTCTCAAGGAAATCATTAGTGCAAGGTTAAAAGCACTGTGGGCTGCCATAACCTAACAGGGAGTGAGAGACTTCAAGTTGCCTATGAGTGCAGTGTTTATTCTTCGCTCCTGGCTCTTGGTTGTGTGCTTCAATGTCCTTAATCTAGCCTGAGTTTGAGGTACTAGGAAGACATAGAAGAGAAGTGGCTCTATATCTTTGAATCCTGGGTATTCAAAGGGCAGTCTTAGACATTACGTATGGAGGTGGGCTTGGGTAGGTACCCATGTGCAGTTTGAGGACCCAAAAGATGTTGGGCCAATGTCAGGTGGGTGTCCAGTGTAGGGCAAGGAGGAGGATGAGGTCACTTGAATACTGGTTGCCCATTGAATGAGTTTCTTGCTTATGTAACAAGTCACCACAAATCTAGTGGCTTAAAATAACATAGATTTATTATCTTGAGTGAGCAGTCTGATTCAAGTCTCATGGACTAGAGTCAAAGTTTCTGTAGGGCTGTGCTCCTTTTTGTAGGCTCCTTGACTTTCCCACCTTCTTGGGGCTTCTTGCCTTCCCTGGGTCATGAATTCCCTTCTATTTTCAAAGCCAGCAACAGCTGGTTTAGTGATTCTTACATCATATCACTCTGATCTCTTCTATCTTCCTCTTCTACTCTTATGGATGCTTGTGGTTAAACTGTACCCCCAGTCCCCAGATAATCAAGGATCTTCTTCCTATTTTAAGGTCCATGTAGTCATATCTTAAATTCCATCTGCAACCTTAATTCTCCTTTGCCATGTAACCTGACATATTCACAGGACATGACATGAACATCTTTCAGGACAGGCATTGTTCTATCACACTCACTTTACAATCAAGATGAACATGAATATTGGACAATGCAGAAAGACTTCCTTATCCTTTTATAGACTCTACATGGGATAATGGAGGGGAAGTGTTTCAATATTAGACAAGGGAATTAAAAATCATCAAGGTAAATGAAAGTCGATAAGGACATTGGAGACAAAAAAAACCCCAATAAGATCAGAAGTGTCTTATGTATGTGATGGTGGGCGTGAAAAGGAAGTGAAGAAAATCGGGATTAGATAGGCATGAATTTCTTATTTAAGATTTGTTTCTGGAGTCATTGAAGAAATGCCAGTGGTCTCAAAGGAGGGCCATGGGGCAGAACCACAGAAAAGACATAGTCTCATCTGCATTTTGATCACATTAAGGATGGCAAGGAAACATTTGTCAGGGTCAGCCTACGCTAGAGGAACTTTGGAGGTCCTGCCTCTGTGGTCTCTGGGGATGATCACTGAATCAGCAGTCTAGAGGTCTGAATTCTGTCCAGGTTTCAACCACCTCAAGGGAGTCACATCACCTGTTGTTTTCAGACCTTTCATCAGTAAATGAGGAATTGATTTAGGTGACCCTGAGGTACACACATTCACTTTAGCACTTCTGATGCCCACTGGGATCTTGGCTATTATGGCTCTTTGCCAGGCATATTTTCAAGCACTTAGAAGGTGCTTTTGCTGAAAAACACTCCTCACTTGGGCCTCCAAGTGTCCAAAGTAACTAAAAGCAGGATAAAAGCTTGGCATCCCTGCCTCCACATTGTATCTGTGCCCTTTGCTCTGAGCCATTCTCTCTGGCAGTCACTTTGCAGCTACCTTGGAATCCAGGAAGAACAGGACTGAAGGATAAACATCCTGTGATGGAAGACAAAGCTACCTCCTGCCAGGCAACAATGACTTTTTTATTGTAACAAGGCCCTACCTGACCAATCCTGAGATAATGAGCAACTGTACCATCTTTGATCACACACCTGTGACTGGGACTATTTAATAATTATGCATACCTCTTGTTCCCTGCCCCCAATTCTTCCCTCTAGTTAAGCCTAAAGTTCTTGTCTATACCCCAAAGACAGCCTGAAGTGCTTACTTTGCCTCTTCCCAGTGTGTCTATGCTGTGTTAATAAATCTTTCTCTGCCCTTATTTGGCATATTGTGGTGAGTGGCCAGACCTGACATGTGGAACTCCTGGAGTTTGGGCCTATGGCCTAGAACTCTGGTTCCAAGCACACTTTGGGAATGTGGGGCTGTATCGATGTGGTGGAAGCATTCTTGACTCCCTCTTCTTATTAGGGTTTTTTCTATAGAAGAACAACTTTGGGACTAGGGGTGAAGTTCAGTGGTAGAGCACTTGTCTTGTATTCACAGGGCCTTGGGTTTGGTATTGGTATTCATAGGAACCACTTGGAGTTTGCTGTCCTTCTGGGCCTCTGTGCTCAGGGTTCCTAGTTCTCTGTACCCTCCCAGTTCTGTCACATGGGCCCTTGTCCCCAGCTACATTGCTACTGTGTGTGAGGTGTGTGAGTTTTGACAATGGGTGGGGACCATCATACAGTTTAACTGGCCCAAAGGAAAACTGGAACAAAGTACCTCTTGGCCAGGTGTCTCCCACCCCCATCCCACAGCTACTTTCCAGGCTCCCCATCACCACAGCCATAGCTCCAGACTTTGTTCCTCCTCAAGAAGTGGGGTTCTGGGCTAGCGGAGTTGCTCAAGTGGTAGAGTGCCTGCCTAGCAAGCATGAGGCCCTGAGTTCAAACCCCAGCAATCTCTCCCACACACACCAAAAAAGAAGTGAGGTCCTGTGCTTTCCCTCAGAGCCCTGTTGCCAGTGTTGAGAATTGGGCCTAGATAAGGGCCCAGTGCGAGTGGTAGCTTCTGATGACAATGAGGCTGTGCTGCGTAGTCATCACCTCAGGAGAACGGAAAGGACAGGAGATGACAAGCCCTGATCCCCAGCTATGGCTCAGTTGAGGGAGACAGGGAATGGACTTTTACCACACGAATTTATTTAAATAAAAATGAACACATATGCAGGCTGGTGCCCAAGGGGCAGGGGTGGGAGGCGGGCAGATGAGGGCAGATGGACAGTGGGCGCCAGGCAGAGTCTGTGTGGTATGAACCAGGCTGCAGGAGGGAGTGGATGGGGCCTTGGGACAGTGCTGGGCTTCGGTGCTGGGGCAGGGATCTCAGGCGGATGAGCCCAGTGCCAGTGGGTAGTTTCTGTCCCTTACATGCTCCCCTCCCTCTCCCTGACCCCTGGGCCCACACCACTCTCTCCTTAGCTCCCTCTCCCTCTCCTGGTATCAGCCTTCCCCTCAACTACTAGGAAGTTAAAAGACAAAATAAATAAGAATTGGCAAGTCCTGCCTTGGCCTTGGCTCTGGGGAAGGGAAGCCAAGCCAGGCACGCTGCCCCAGCCCTGCTGTCAGCCCGGAAAAGAACAGGTAAAGTGCAAGGATGATCCAGTAAGTAAAAATATACCAATGATTTTGTCAAATATACAGCAGGTGGCTGGCTGTCAGGTGGCACCAGCACCCTGGGAAGTGTTGGCCGACACAGTATAGAGACAACGGAAATAAATAGGGGTGGGGAGTGGGCAAGGGTCCCGCCCCCTGGACCAGTGCCACTTGGGGGGCCCAGATGGGGCCTCTGCTTGCCCACTACCCAAACACCTCCCAAGCCCCATTTGCCCGGCTCCCCCATGCTGGGGCACTGACACAAAGCACCCGGCAGGCCGACTGGCTGTAAGGAAAGGATTATAATGTGGGGATGGGCGCGAGAGGGTAGGCATGGGAAGCTGCGCAGTCAGCCAGGGCTGGCGCCACCCTCAGTACTCGTCCTGGTCTTCCTGTTGGTGTTCTTCAATCTCATCATCCTCAGGGGGTGCAAATCCCTCCTGGAGGGGGAAGGAGAGGGCAGTGGTGAGCCAGACAGGCCAGGCTGAGGGTATGCAGTTCCACAAGTGGTGTAGGAGCAGGGGCCCAAGCTTAATGTTCTAGCCACCCTTTCCCTACTAATGGCTGTGAGGCTGTATAGCTAGAGTGGGCAGAGAAATTAGGAAAAATACTGAAAAATAGAACAACAATAAGTTGGGTCTAGGACCTGATACAGAACCAGGAACTGAAGTTGAAAAGTCACTACGGCAGCAAGGAATTGAATGAACTACTCAAGAATGAACAGACCTGCCTTCTTTCCATCTCCCACCCTTCTCTTGGATGTTAAATGTAATCCACTGCCCCTAGAGAAGTAATTGAGTCCAACAATAGAAAAGTGCCTCCTGATTTTTGTAAATCTGTGACCAGGAAGAAAATCTAAAAAAGGACCATGAAGAACAGACACCCATGTTACTAGACTCTTGGGTTGTGAGGTCAACTCTGCCCTTTGTCTCTGTGCTTGGGTGATGGTATCAAACGGGATAATTGGAAAGTTGCTGGGTGACCATACATCCAGGTGACCAATTTTGAACTGGAAACCCTCAGTGCAGTTAGGGGTCATAAACACCCTTGAATTGAAGACTGCCCACTGAGCCTTGGCTCTTACCTTCTGACTGCTAGTGACTTCACCTATCTGCCCACATCAGTAAATGTTTTCCACAGTCCCTTCTAGTACTATATGCTTCTGGTCTTAGCTCAGGGCCAGAGTAGGAAGCGCCCCTTGATCCTGGGACAGTGGAAGATGAAGGGAGGACTAACCTCGGTAGCATATAGAATGCCAATGATGCCCGAGATAACGGGGCTGTTTTCACTTTCATGTTCCTGGCAGATGAGCTCAATGTCACGCAGTTTGCTGAAGTAGAAGTCACGTTCCTTTTCCAGTCCATCCACTGTCAGCTTCAAGTCCAGGAGCTGCTCAGGCAGAAGGTAATGTTGATGTCAGATACCCCTGCCTCACTCCCCTGCCTGTCCTTCTCTTGTACCTGCTGACACCCCAAGGGCCCAGCCTTTGTGGCAGGGCAGTCTCAGTCACCCTAATCTACCCCACTCACCTGCTGGTTGAGTTCAAGAATCTGGGCATCAGTCTCGTGGCCACCATTTCGGGCTGATGGGGGATTCTTCCGGAGGATGCAGGGTGGGGCCACGTTGCTCAGTCGGCCAGAAGTCTGCATGTTCTTGGGGCCTGTGGGGGACGTCCTCTGTGGAACTGCCCAGAGGAGAAGAGTCAGATGAGGCCATGTGGCACACAAGTCAGCCTGGTGTGAGGACTGTGGGGGGCAGGCCCATGCACAGGCAGACACTCCCCCTTGGGAAGGACGTCTACATCTAGGCCTCAAGCCTCGGCCACACATGACACTACAGCAGCTGGGCAGCCCTTTGGCAAGCCTGGGAGCACAGGGACCATCAGGAATTAAAGGAAGGGTGAGGAGTTGGGGTGGAGGAGAGCTGGCCTGGGAGAGGGATGTGAGACACTGGGATGGCGAATTTAGGAAAGTGGGTTTTGGGAGGGTTCAGGGCCCTCTTATTCTGACAGCTAGAGCTGGAGGGAAAGCAGCTGGCCCAGGGTCTCCCTTAACTAGAGCGCCAGCCCCAAACCACCCTCCTTGTGACAGACACCTGGCCCTGCCCCTCCCATGTCCCTATCTCAAGATGGGCTCTGTCGCCCTCTGCTGGCTGCATCGGTTATCTACGCAGCGTGGACCACCTTAGGGACACAGCTCTTCCCCAGCTCAGCCTGCATGCTTTCTAGTGACTGCACTGCCCTAAACAGAGCGGTTGCTTCTAACGCAAAGCAAGCAGGTCATTGAGAACAGGCCCAGGCGGGACGACAGTGCAAACCGAGGAGGTGGCTCTGCTATGACGGGTCAGATGCGGGCTGGGGCTGCAACTTTCCCCTCCCTTCCCCAACCTTCCTGTCCCCCAAAGCCCTATTGCTTCTCTCCCTGCCCCTCTTGCACTCTGACAAAGTCTCATTTCTATAGACTCATCTCTTGAGGTCTTCAGGACTAAGGGCTCTTGGAGTGGGGGAAGATAGGATCAAGCTGAGCAAACTCCTGCCCCTGGGCATCCAGTGGGCAGGGTGAGAAGGGCTGTGCTGCTGGCACCAAGGCCTTTGGCCAGATGGACCTGGATGGAGGAACCATGCCACTTTGCTGTCCCATGATCTTGAGGTAAACAAGTTAGATCATGTTATGAAATGAAGTGCCCCAGGCCTCCTACAGCCAGCTGCTACCAAGGCTGGTACAGGTGGCTTTCCTCTTAGCCCAAGTTTTGGAGTCCTCTTGCCCCCCTCTTTGGACTCCCCTGTCTAAGTGGGCAGCAGGCGACGTCATCTGAACTCCGTGATAACAGTCTCCTCCAGGCTGGCAGGGCCGGGCCGTTTGACCAAGGGGGCACTCCCGGCTGTAGAGCCCTGCTGGCCCGGCCCCCCAAACTCCCTCCCCCAGCTAGGGCACATTACCTGCTGTGCCAATGAGTTTCTTGGATTTGTTGAAGATCTGATCACCTGGGTTAGGAGGTGGTGCTACGTCCTGGCCCTGCCGCGCCAGCAGAGGGTTGTAATCCTTTCCATCATAGTTTGCGTCAAAGAATTTCTTAAACCACTGAATAAACTCAAAATTATCTTGGAACTTTCCTTTCACTAATTTCTCTACGGGAATGATCTGAAATAGACCACATAAGCAGAGCACTTTAACCACCTGCTGTGTGAGGCTGCCTTCCTCTGTGAGAGGGCCCCTGCTCTCAGGAAAGTCAGCCCCTGGGCCGTCCACCTTCTCCACCTACCCCCCTCCCATGATACCAGAACAGACAGGTAGGCCAGCAGACCTGGCCAGGGACCCAGGCCTACAGGCACAGGAAGAACTGTGTGAGGAGGCAGCCCACAGCCCTGGGGTGAAAGCAGGAGAGTAAGCAAAGAGACTTTCTTGGTCCCTAAGGAGAGATATAAATAAGCAGTACACAGAGCCTCAATGTAGGGGTGGGGAGAGTACAGAGAGAAGAAAGGGAAAGGAATGTCATCATGATGGGATATCAAGTGCAGGGTATTTCCCACTGTGCCTTGAGCTGGGGAGCATTTCCTGTGGAGAGTCAGGGTAGAGAGGTACAGGCTGGACTGACCCGAGAAGCCACTGTTACCCTGGATGGGAGGCCATCTTCCCCAAGGGTACACAGCTCCTCAAGGACCCCCAGGGGTACAGACACCTACTTTGTCAACACCCATCTTCTTGAAAGCTGCTTGCAGCACCTTGAAGTTGTGGATGTATTCATGTTCTAGTTTGGCTTGGAACTTGACCTTCCTCAAGTGCACACAGCCAGGGAAGAGCATGTCCATGAACTGGCAGTAGGCTGCCCCTGTGGAGAGGCACAGCTGATTAAGGCAGCTCTCCCTTTCAGGTGCATGGCTCTCTTTCACTTCCCAGGCCCTCTGCTGGCCCGCTCCCCCAAACCTGGACCTTATCCCTCCTTGTCTTGGGGCTAGACAATTCTACTTCTAGGTTAGGCATGGCCAGATTCCCCCTAGTTTTCTAAAAGTAAGAACAATTGCAATTAATTTACATATGTATGTATGTATTCCCTTAAGCAATACTGGGAATTGAACTCAAAGGTCTTGGGAATGTTAAGCAAGCACTTTACCACTAAGCTACGCCCACGATTCCACAATTACTGTTTGTTGATGCACCATTCCAAATACTGCATATATATAGGTTAAGTCTTAGACCCCTTAGGTAGACAGGTGATGCTATCTCCACTATAAGGATAGAAAAATGGAGACCTAGAGAGCTGTAGTGACTCACCCAGGGCTGCACCAGCAGAACTAAGAGTTGGACACAGTGGGTACACAGAACCTCATGCTGCTAACCCATGTCTTTGCTGCCTGTCCTGCATCTTGACACCCCAGGAATGCTTCACCTGCCCTTCAGTCATCTTTCTTCTGTTTCCTGACTTTAACTCCAAGCTGTGTGAGTAGTATGGTGCTCCAGCTCTTTCTCTTCATGCTAATTGCAAGCTACATGGCCTGTTGCACTGTTTTGACTTCCCAACCTTTCTTTCTTTCCCTCCAGCAGGGACGATCCCCATCCCAGCATCTTACCTGAACAGAGCTGTTCTATCTTGGTATAGTTGAGGTGCAGGGAGTCATTGACCCATGCAAGCATATCATGGCGACTCAGATTTTCACTGGTCACAGATGTGGAGTACACATTGACGGCCATACCCCAGCTGCAAAGAAAGAAGAGAGGTGAGGTCAGCACTGGGCCTCCTGCTGATAACTCCAGCTGCCAGGAGAGGAGGACCTGAATATTCTATTGCCAATATGGAGGCATCTCCATTAGATCAGCTTTGCTGGTCACTGTCTTAGAAATTCATTCTTTTATTATTTTTTTTGGTGATACTGAGGTTTGAACTCATGTAGGTGCTGTACCACTGGAGCCATGCCTCTACCCATAGGGTCTCACTTTGTAGTCCAGGCTGGGCTTGAACTTTCAATCCTTCTGCCTCAGACTCCCAAGTGCTGGGATTACAGGCAGTACCACCATGCGTGGCTAGGTATGCATTCTTTAAACATTTAACATTGTCTACTGTATGCTAGGCATGTGCTAGGAGCTGGTGATACAAAGTTAACTAGAATGGTCTCTGAATTCCAGGAGTTTAGACAGGTGAATCCCCTCAGCAGGGAGAGATGGGTGGTTAAGGAGCACATAAAATTTCAAGGATGGCACAAATAAGGCGAGATCTCTTTGGCTTGGCAGGATCAGTAAAAGTTTTAGAGCAGAGACGTTGGAGACTAACAAGAGTAGGAATTTTCCAGATGTACAAAGGGACAGGGCAGAAGGGAACTACAGGCCCAAGGACTAACAAGAACCAAGACGTGGCTTATTCTGGCAACTCCAAGCTGTCGGCAGGTCTGGGGAGCAGGTTTCTGAGTTGGGGTGTGAGGTTGGCAAGAACAGATCTGGAAGGGCTTTGTTTACCATGAGGAAGAGTCTGCCTTTTCTATTTGGTCAACGGGAAGCCACTGGAGAGCTTTAAGCAGACAGTAACCTAACCAGGTTTGTGTTCTAGAAAGGCAAGACCTTATTCTAACATTCCTGTGGCCTGTGGCCTGTTGGCTGACCCAAAGCCAACTAAATTTCACTTGTCCAGAACCTTCTCAAAAACCATTACTTCTTCGCCTGCATTCATTATTGCAGTAAGTGTCACCATCAGCCCCCAATCATCTGAATTAGAAATGTGTGGGGTCATCCTAGCCAGTCTACTCTCATTCCTGTGTGTACCCTCTATGCCTTAGTCCTCCTTCTTCAGTATGCCAGCCTTCTCTCTCCTACTAGCTTCTGAATACTTTCTCTGAAGCCAAAACTATCAGGAGACTTTCCAAAGGTCTTCTGGCCTCCAGCCCTCCCTCATCCATCCATCTCAGCACTGCTGGCTACCTGTATCCCAGTTTCAAAAGTCAGCAATCATGACCAAGGAATCTGTGACTAAATTTGCCTTACACTCTTGAACTGCTTAGCACTCACAGCACTGGAAACGTTTTCGAGTGAGTGCCCAATAATTTAAAGTTGGGATGCTTCACATAAACTACTTGGGATTTCTGCCTTCTTTTGTGACTCTGGGCCTATGTTCCTCACCTAACCAAGAGTTGGCCCTGAGCAGAGGTGCCTCTTTTGGTCCACCAGAGTGACGGCCCCCTTCTCACCACCCCACACAGAGATCAGCTGCTGTTTATCACCATGAAGAGAAGAGGGAAGGATTTCTTGTAACCAGGCCTTTATCAGAAATGGAGACACAAAAGGACTGCTGTATTATAAGAATTGTAAGAGCTCATATTTCTGGAGTGAAGAATATTTCTCCAGATTTAATATGCAAAGTGTCTCTGTGAAGTAAAAATATATCCTACCTACTTCCTGGTCCTCTGTAGGTAGCTCCCTCCTACTTATCCAACTCTAAATGGACCCCACCTCTTGAGTTTTGCTTCCTCAGTTAGGAGCCAGAGCAGGTCCCTACTTGCCCTGGAAAGCTGTTTTCACCCCATGTCCATTCATTCACCATACAGCTCCAGCAGCACTGGGGCTATATGGGCATCAGCTTGCTAGAAGTTCTAATTCTTGCACTCTCCTCCAGACTTGATGAATTAGGATCTGCGTTTGACCAAGACCCTGAGAGGGTCTGCAGCACAGGCAAATGTGAGAAGCATTGATTTAGAGAGAGGCTCAGCTTGCCATCTGCTGGGGTGGCTCCCATCACACCGCCATCCTTAATCCCACGCACATCTTTCCAATGGAGCCTCATTGTGTGCACACTTAACTTAAATGAACTGTTTTTGAATAAAAGTCACAATAGAAAAATACTCTTACATATTCCTAGTCCTTCCTCCTTTAAAAAATAAACCTTGACCTTCATTGCGTGGGGAAAGGGAGCCTGAGCAGGGGGTCAATGGATAAGAAAAACCAGAATTATTGCCCTGGGAGTTTCTAAAGACTTAATACCTGGCAATTTCAGAGATTTCCCAGGGTAATTTTGACTGCACTTGTGCCTCCTCTTACACAATGGCTTTGAGTTCACTGCCTTGTATCCTAACTAGCATTCCCACCAGACTTGTTTTATATGCCTGTCTCCCGTGTCAGGAAGTGCCTGTCACAGGTAAGGTGCTCAGTAAGGTTGTTGAATGATTAAGTGACACCTCCTCACATCTTCTCCTCCTTCTCAGTATCTGCTGGCCTGGGTTTTCCGTCCCTAACCTGTAGGACTTGGCTCCAGCCTCCTTTCCAGGAAACTTTCTCTGAAGCCCCATATGAGACATATGGCCCAGAACCTTCTTATACAACATTCGTCTTTTCCTGTATTCATTATTGCAGTGAATGTCACCATTAGCCCCTACTCATCGGTCCCTATAGCACCCTGAGCACAACTGAGGGCTTCCTTACATTCTCTCAAGGAATGTCTTTCCCTTCCATTTGACTTAGCTGTTTAATTTACCTTTGGGTTCCAGACCAATTCTTGGCAATCAGCAATTGCCTAACCATGTTGGTGGAAGGGAAGGGCAGAGACTGGAGTTGGAGGTGTTTCTGAACTTCCAGGAGGAAATCACCTAAGGTAGCAGCAGGTGAGGAGTAGACAGGGTGGGTGGAACTAAGTGCCTCAAGAGGCAGAAGTAGGAGGGTCAAGAACAGTGTATTTTATTTCCATGAATATTTATTTTGTTATGGACTATGAGGATTGAAAAGATTTGTCCCATCCTCAAGAAGTGAGTAACCCTACTGGGGAGATACACACCCCACAACAGTAAGCCCCAACTGTGATAAAAACAAGAAATGCTACAGGAAGTCAAGAAAGACAGTAAACAGATCTGAGAGGTGGGTCTGCATGGTCACAAGGATGAGTGGGCAGACTCTGCCAGGTCTGGGAGGGTCTGTGGGGGGGTTGTGGAGGTTGGTGGGGCTGGGTGCACATGGCAGAGCTATTCTGGTAACTGTTCAGAAGGACTGTCCTATCTAAGAGCTTTCCACAGGCTCAGAGACTCCTATCTCCCGGAGATCCTGGGGCCATTTTGTCTCTGGAGCAGGGTGATTCTGGATCAGCTGTGGCTGACACTGCTAGCCCTCAGAGGGTCTGGGCTTGTGGGATGGTTTTGAGGAAGTATGGCAGTCTTATGTTGGCCCTGGGAATTCCTAATCAAGTTAGGGATTTTATTCTTTTTAATGGGTTAAAGGCTGATTATTCAAGAAAAGCAGAAGTAATGGTCCTAGTCCACACCTGTGCTCTGGTTTTTGACTGCATTTGAGCTTCAAAGGTCTTGTAGCCTGAAGGTGGCCTTCCTGGGTTACCATACGACCATACCTGTTGATAGCTCAGGCCCACTCAATGCATTCAGGTATTCCTCACTAGGAGAAGCCTAAGCATGTGTGTGTGTGTGTGTGTGTGTGTGTGTTTATGTATACACACATATACATATGGTAACATAATATATAATGCATATACATATCACATACACTTTTAAAAAACACTCCAGGTGTTGCAATGTTTTGTCATCTCTCCAGAGGTAAAGTGTTAGCCCTCTTCCTTCCTGCCTGCCTGCCTGCCTTCCTTCCTTTCTTGTGGCAATACTGGGGTTTGAACTCAGGGCTTTGTGCTTACTATGCAGGCACTCTACCACTTGAGCCAGGTTCCCAGCCCTTTTTGCTTTAGTTATTTTGGAGATAGAGTCTGGCTAGGTGAACCAAGGCCCTCCTATTTATGCTGTGTAGCTGAGATGATAGGAGCATGCCACTATGCCTGGCCTTTATTGGTTGAGATGGGGTCTTGAGAACGTTTTTTTGCTCAGTACAGCCTTGAACTTCGATCCTCCCCAATCTCCCCCTCCTGAGTAGCTAGGATTACAGGTGTGAACCACTGCACCCTGCCTAGTCTCATTAACCTTTGTCTGGGCCAGCCTTGAACCGTGATGTTTCTACCTCTATCACTGGAGCAGCTAAGATTATTGGTGTTCCTAGTTCCTCTCTTTCTCCTTGGTAACAAGAAAAATCTCCAGCTCCCTGGAGAACTACAACAAAGACCTTGATGTCAGGAGTCACCAAGAGCTACATAGCTACTTGAAAAATGCCAGGTCTTCTTGGGTTGGCCAGACATGATGGGAGGGTGTTTTCTAAATCTCTGATCAAAGTGGCAACAGTGACTTTAAGAAGGAAGCTGAAAAATGGCTCCTTTCAGGGCCTATAATTAACAATTCTGTCACCCCTACGGGACTTTTGGGGAAGGAATGGCAGCCAATACTTGGACCAGAGCCATTTGCACAGGCAGACTGCTCTCTGCCCTGGCTGGGTCATCTTTGCTCAGCAAGGAACCCAGGGGTCCTTGCAAGGATCCTGTATCATACTTGCTGGAGCTCCATGAAAACAGCCTTCCTGTCATGCTGGGGAGGGTAGGGTGCCCTTTTAATTTTCCTCTCCTGAGTTTTGTCCCTATGCATGGAACTAAATATGGCCAGCAGGTGGCATCCAGGTCCTGAGCCAAGACTCCTTTAACGGCCTCCCCCATCCTCAAGACCCCTTTCCCTAGCTCAATTTAGAAAAAGGAGAGCCCCTAAATTTGATTTGTTCCCCGAAGAGGAAGACAGTGTCCATCGAAATCTGGTGGCATTAAGGAAGGGCTTAAGTGGAGGGCCTGTCCTCTTGGAGCTGGGCCAGCTGGAGCAGCGTGAGCAGGTCTCTGCTCTAAGATTC